ACATCATAGATAGATCAATCTTCGTGAAGTGATCATACCGTGTTCTTCGGTTCATGATGTCCTGAATCTTGGGGAGATTGAACTTGGGACGCCTGATCCTTTTGTTCCGTTCTCTAAGATCAACAAGCCATCTTACTCGTCGATCCTTTTTCAGAATGATAAAGGCTGGAAAGCCCCATTCCGAATTGCCAGTGGGAGCAATCACTCCTTCTTCAACCAGATGCTGGCATTCCCGTTCAAAGACATCTCTGTGTCTGTAGGGGACTGGATATGGATTTATGTAAACTGGTTCTGCATTATCCTGTAGATCAATGTGGATCTTTTCATGCGGATATCGACCTAGCTTGCCATCAAACAATTCTGTGTGTTTGGCTAGCATCTCTGTGAATGCTAGTCTTTCTGATMTRYTCATGTGCTCTTGCTGGTCTGCAACCTGCTCTGGAGTCACCTTCTGGTACTGCGCGTCCAGGATCTTTGTTGCCTCAGTGGGTCTTTCTGTTGCCTCAGTGGGTCTTTCAGCATCTGCTGCCAAATAACTGTCCAAACCGACTGCACGTCTGCAGTTTTGTGGTTGGCAGCTAGGGATTAGATGAAACTCGAAGAAACCTCCATCTAAGAGCTCATCATCCTCCGCTATCCACATGGCTTCTGCCACGTTTTGGGGATTGTTGAAGTGATCTGTTGGTTTCATGTCAATGGTTGATCCCAACCAACTGATGGTTCGTGTAGAATAAAAGAGGTCTATTCCAGTCATCAATAGAAAGTCCCTTCCTAGAATCATGTCATATTTGCAAGGGGCTGAAAAGAGCCGCGCATTGATTCCTCTGGTATATTTGCCATTGCCAAACTCTGGGAGCCGAATGTTGGAKATGAAGACATACTTGGATGTGTCAAAGCTTCCCTGAGCTGTGGTGGTGACTGAACTTAATCGGTCCTGGAAGGGGATTGTTCCTGGTGGAAGGCAACGCTCGTGAACGAGACACATTGTACTCCCACTGTCCAATAGAACCTTGAATGTACTCATTGTTGGTAAGTCTTGGATGGATTTACACACTAGAATGACCACTGGTAGTACATCTTGCATGTCCGGTGGTGTTTTCAGAGCTCTCAAGGTGACTGCTGTTGGATTCTTGAGGGCTTCATCATTATCAACAAGGCCATAAAGCTCAAGGCTATCTGTTGGTGATTGAGTGAATGGTGGTGGAGGCAATGAAAAGTAAGCCTCGCTTGGATGTCACCACTGTTGATTTGGTCCTCGTCCTTGTCCTTKGAATCGGACTGTCGATCCCGGATTGCTGTGGGACTGTAATGACACATGGCTTGGAGGGCCACTGGAATTAGAGCCGTGATAATTTTGAGTTTGGATTGACTGTGGTTGGAARTTACTCATGTTCCCGTGCTCATCCACGTCACAGGAATAAGTTCCCGGTGTGAACCTCTTATTGCTGTGGTTTCCATTGGAATTGCTCTGGTTTCTCTGCTGGTTTCCGCCGTAACTTCCTAGGTTGCTTTGATTTCCTCCGTTGTTGTTATTGTTGTTTCGATTGTAACCATTCTTATTGAGCCTGCACTCCCCCCATAGGTGGTGTCCATTATGTATCTTGCAAGGCGTTGCATTGGTCCTAATTCTTCTTTCCTCGGGGGTCTTGTTCTGTCTGTTTGCACTGTTGTTTCTATTGTTTCCATTGTTGTTGTTGTTTCCTCTTCTTCTTTGTCTTCCATTATTCCTTCCGCGTTGTCTTGCATTAKTATCTGTAGCATCATCTGCTGATCTTTTCCTCCGACGTTGTTGCTGCTGTTCTTCATCTGCAATTGCTTTTAGTTCAGACATGAACTCCACAGTGTCCCTCAGGATATTTCTCCCACTCTTTTTATAATCACTCTGCCAGGATTTGGGGAACGATTTAAAAAGGATCTGCCTGATCTCTCTTTCCAACAGGGGCTCACAGACGCCATGAAGAATGTTGGCTCTGGAGCAGCATGTCTGAACTCTATCGACATGTGCTTCACAGGAGATTGAATGAGGTTTCCTTACAGCTTCAGATTTCAAGTAATCAATAACATCGTCCCTGGCGTTCTTGGATGAAGCATAGAACTTCCTGAAGGTAAGGAGGGCTATTTCCCATTGTGCTTTGCTATCTCTTGTCACCTGTTCCGTTAATCTGTTGTTGCGCCACATGTTATTCCACTTCTGTCTGGGCCCGTGTTGTAGGACCATTTGCCACTTGTTGTCTATTTGATCTTCTGCTATCTCCAAGTCTAGGATTGCATCTTCAAAGTCTTCTTGTACATGGAACAGTTCTTGTAAACCATACTCCCCCGAGAAGGTTGTGCATGTCTTGGATAGCTTCCTTGCTGGGTTTTGGAGGTTCACGGTCATCGAGACTGTCTTCAATTGAGCTGGATTGAAGTTGTTTGTAAGTCCTAAGCAAGACCGGTGTGTGTTTGTTGATTTCACCATGGTCGATGTAGTATTTTGGTTGTTTTTCTTAAGGGTTGATTAAATTTCGATACACGAAAATCACTTAGTAATTACTGTGCAGCACCTTTGAGCTGCTCACAGTGACATTGTGCACGAGATTACGTGTACTCTTAGTATGTTTAAGTGTGTATGAAATTGAAATTATAAGATTAAGATTATCGAGCGCTTTCACGAGAATTCTGAAGTTCTGATCAGATCCTCATGTAGACTTGGTAGGGAATCTACATGGAGGTTCTTCTATTCCAGACTCGTGACGTCTATGTTCTTCGTAAGATATTCTAACTCTCAATATCTTGGACCTCTTATGATCCTCGGACCTCTTACGATGGATCCTATGATACATACATAGGAAGCGTACCTTACTATCGGTACGTAGGAATGGTATGATCCTTCATTCCTTTCTTCGAAGCTTCGTATCGTACGTAATGATTCATCCATACGTTGCAATGTGGGGGTTCTGACAGAAAGACATCCCTTGGGGACCCATCACCTTTACCAAAAGGGTTGTGGTTGGGCGACAGTATGTTCCCATCCTCAGACTGAGTGTTTTCCCTGTTGTTGTTGTTGTTGTTGTTGTTGTTGTTGTTGTTGTTGTTGTTGTTGTTGTTGTTGTTGTTGTTGTTGTTGTTGTTGTTGTTGACTGGGCCTTTCAAGTGCTTTGGAAACACCAGCTTAACTAAGCGCAGAAATTCAGATGCCAGTTGAAAACTATTCAAGGACTTAGGTGCAGATGCAAATTGCTTCACTAACAATCCAATAACTTCCTCAAAAATTGGGATCTCCATGCCTTTCCGGTATTTGAATGTTTTTTTTGGTAACAGAGTGGTACTCCCAGAAAACCTTCAAGGCACTTTTGGCACTGAACAACTTCTGTTGAAGGACAATGTCCCAGGATGAAGCAACAGGTTTGTCACCAAGTGACGGTTCTGGTTCATTGATCAGCAAAGGAAAGAATTGGAAAATACTGCTCTAGGTTTGCTCTTATAGCATGCTAATCATCCTCTGTTCTCACAATGTTCCTGGTAACAATCTGCTTCTTCCCTACAGGACGTTCAATAATTGGCTTCTGAAAAATGTTGGTTCAAATTGTGGCGGTGATGTCTGTCAGATTATTTTTGGAGTGTTCAAGAGAATCTGGTGTTGATAACAAAGTATTGAGAGTGACTGTCAACCATTGATTGTTAACATCAAGTGTCTGATGCTTTGAGGCAGGAAGATTTTTTTTGCATGGGAAAGAAAGATGTTGATTTTAGATTTGTTACCAGGGGAATCAAAAGTAATAGCTTTACCATTCATGAATTTAAGAACATCATTAAAACCTGTGCTTTTTTGTATCTTCAGTTATCTTTGTGATACGACCACAAATAAGTCTGAACATCTTGTTCCAGTGGTGGCCCTGGGAGAGGCCAAACAAGCAGAAGCTGTTTCCATTCCAACTACATGGGTCTGGAGGAGACCTTCCAGAAATGACATAGAATGACATCTGTTGTCAACAAGTTCCTCCAGTTCCTGAACGATTACCAACACAGGTGATGTTTTGAGTGACTTGTAGTATTTATGATTAGGGTCAGCTTTGTGTTCAAGTAAGGCACACACATCTAGCATTGATGCCTTGAACTGCTTTGTTAGGTGATCAACATCCTCCATACAACTTGAGGGAGAGAACTTGTTCAAGAATGACAGAGCCTTATAATAGTTTGGGACTTGCGGTGAAACCTTGCCAACAACAGCATCTTTGGTGCGGGAAATGACATCTGCAAACTATTTCAAGATTTCTGATGACTTCTTGTCTAACACATATTGATAATGTTGGGAGATGAGTATCAGTTGGAAAACAACATCAGAGTAAATATACTTGTTTGTATTGATCAATTGGGCGATGGCATCTTTCTTCAAAGCACCAGCAATGAACTAAAACACAATTTATGTCATCATCCAAAATGTTGTTTGCTGCTGTTGTTTTTTTTGCACTGATATCAATCTGGGAGACCATTGCACCAACAATTACTAGTTAAAACCACCATCTCCCACTACGGAGAGAGAGGTATAATATGTATCTTAATTGACAGGGATATACATGCAAAGGATGACAATCAGGATTGTGATCGGTTGGTTGTTACTGGTTTCGGTTGTGGTTCTGATTTTGGTTTCTGTTTCTGTTCCCGACAGTTCAGAAAAAACAAATAGTTGTGGTATAGGGTGTTCACAATTTACTGCTTGAGTGGTGCAACAGATAAAAAATAAAGTTGTAAAAAGTTGGAGTGATTGTAATGCAACTACTTGGGTATTACAACGGTTAAACACTGTCACAACCTATCGTGACGTGAAGCATCATACATAATTGGGTTCACGAGCTGCCATAATTTTAGTTGCTCTATCAAAAAACAACTTTTGACCACCAGACTAAGCGCCCAGACCAAGATGATACAATTACTTACAGATCCAGGTCATTGAGAAGCCAAAGGACGCTCTAGTGACTTAGAACTAGTCAGCCAAAGAAGCAAAAATTTATGCGTTAATTCTAGCTGTAATTTTACTCTGAATTAACTCGTAGATACGCGTGCCGTAACCGTGTGGATTCAACCAAAATATTCTTTCAACGTAAAATTTTTGAGAAACGCTGTTTTCATTACTAATATTAGCATCGACCCGCTCATCGCAATCTTTGGATTCGGTTGCGGAGGTTTCTTGTTGCAGAGGTCATCCGTTCGCATCGCTCTTTCAAATAATTGATTCGCTCCCGTTCTGTCTTGACGAAACGCGTATAGGGAGCCACCCCATCCAAAATCTTCCAATTGACGCGATCCACTTCCTTAGTGGTGATGGCATCCAGAGCCTTCTCTAGATGCTGGGCTCGTTGGATCCACTGATCGTTGTAGCGCTGCCGGATCTTGGCCGTGCCCAGCGCGAAAGATGTACCTCCTCCAATGAGTGAGGAAGACAAAGCTATCCACCCCGTAACAGGATCGATCGCTTCCAGTGCCAACAAAATACCCGAACCAATGGCACATGTATGGAGAGAAGACGAAACAAATGCAATCTGTTTCAACGAGGCGAAAAGTCTGGTCGAGTCGATCTCCTCTACTCTTCCAGGCTTTAAGATTTCGTCTATGGAATTCGACAGCTTTTCGACAAGATCCTTTCGGGTTTCTTCGAACCTCGAGACGGTTGTCACGCTTCCCACAAGACTCTGGTTGCTCTTCACAGCGGGGCGTTTTCCGAGATACTCAATCGCCGCCTGCCCTTGCGCTCTTCCTCGTGTTGCAACCGAGTCGCTATTCTCCGAGTGAGTTTATTTCGCAGAGCAACAATTTGCAAGGTAAAAACAAACAGTGAGGCAACTTTCGGCAGCTGATGACATTAAGATGGTCCGATGTGAGCAACTCTTGAGCAAGTCTCACAAGTACCACTAGCATTCGAGAATTCCAATTTTGAAAGGCACTTTCGAGCACAACCACTTACGCTGTTTCAAGAACGTGCTCCAAAAGGTCCGCTCTGAGGTCCTCGTCGTGCTGGCGATGAACCGATACTTCTCGTTTTGTCACACGCCATTCCTCTTCTAATTTGTCCGTGTCAAACAAAGTCCAGTGATAAAAATTGAAAAGGTTCATTCGGTTCAGCAAAATCTCGCATCGCTGTCCTTCCTGTTTTACTATCTCTGCCATTGCTGTTTGGGATCGTAGCATATCGACCTCTAGTTCTTTCTTCCATCCCTCGAACTGGCTCTGGAAGATATTCAAGGTTGCAACGTCCACCTGGAGTTCTTCACGCTGGCCGTTCAAAACCTGGAGGCATTCGGCCATGATACCTTCGGCAACACCAATTGGATTGGACAGTTTTGACCTGAGTTTCGCCTGCGTTGTAAGTGTCTCCTTCAGGTAAAACTCCAAGGTCGAAAAGTTGGACCTTTGCCATACCGTGGATCGCTGGTCGTCTGGAATTGATTGTGATTGCGATTTTCTTTCCTTTGTTTCCATAAGCTTTGCAGATAGGGCATCTCTAGAGCTCACTGGAATCACTACCGGCCGTGCCCCAAGCAATTCGCTGGCTTTGTCCGTGACGAAGTCCACAATCGCGTTTTTCTGTGTCTGCCCATAGCTTCCACCAGATGTTTCCAATATATCCATTTTGTTAATAATGACGACAATGTTTTTGCGATATGTCTGAATGCTTTTCAAAAGGTTGCGTTCGCTGTCCGAAAAGGGTCGATCGGCCGATGTTACAAACAATATCAAGTCTGCAGCCGGAAGCATTTTCTTAGTTCGTTGGGTGTGGTCAATCCATGCCGAGTTCGTCCCCGGGGTATCTATAAGGGTCAAATCTTCCAAAAGTGATAAGTTCTCTACCGAGTGGACAACGACACCGAGCAATGACGGAGACTTTGGTACGTCCATGGCTATCGATGCTCTTATTTCGGTAAGTAAAGAATCACCATTGTATTCATCTCCCACATTGTCGTCTGAGACTGCCGATGTACGTGATGTTGATCCAGCTACAATGGTGATTGAGTCGGTTGTTGGTAGTGCTCCAGTCTCTAGAAGTTTCGTTCCTAAAAGTGCGTTGATTAAGGTTGACTTTCCCGCATTGAATTCTCCTGCAATCACAACCGAAAAGGTGGCATCTAGCTGCAATTCTTCGAGGAAGTTTCTAGAGGAGTACTGCTGTAAAGACAACAATGATGAATCTGGTACCGCCGTTGTTGCTTCCACCTGAGATGCGAGTTCTCGAGATGCTTCGGTCAGTTGTCGCTGTTCTTCAAGGAGGTTCCGTTCGTCTTGTGACAAGAGACGATACAATCCATAGGAATCTAAAGAAAAGCATGTCGACGAATAGTGCACCTTCAAAACATCCCTAGTAGTGACGGGAGTGATAATACTACTGCATCCGTGCGAAAACGCGGAACATAGATCTCGTACTCTTCCAACAATGAAATTTCTGCTTCCGCTTCCAACTGAGGTAAAAGTTGCCGTACCAAGTGGTTCTCGGATGCGAACGAGGATACTGCTCTGACGCGCAGTCATAAACCTCCCCTTTGAGATCAACCGAAACATCCCTTGTCGCCCTCTTCTTTTCATCACTTCTCGTTCATCATCTGTTTCTCACCAAAGGGCTACGAGACGCTGTATGGGCACACAACCAGTGCGAAGATAATGGATGATTGTTTGTGTGAAGATAATGAATGATTGCCTTCATCCATGCTGCAAGAACTTTTGATCGATTTTATGGGTTCGAAGATCAGACCTCACCACCTGCCAGAATTATGTTGACCCCCAAACAATCCCCCCGTTCCTGAATCAAAGTGAAGAAAAGGTTTTTTCTCATTCCTCCGAATCCCGTTGCAGGAAAACTTAAAGAGTATTTTCAAATTTTGAACCCTCTAAGTAATTCGTTCAAAAAAGACACTGGGCGAACGAAAACTATTTGAAAATACTTCATGTATTAACCCCATTCGATACACCTGCCGCACTCTCATGAAGTCAAGTCCCATCTCTATTCATAAGATGCTCGCGGCTTTCTGTTACGTACTCGTTCTCCATGAAGCTATCTCCGATGTCAAGCTCCATTGAGCCAAAAAAATAACTGCGTTTAACGTGACACAAAACTTGACCACATCCTACACCTTTGGTTAGAGTACTCTACTAATAGTCGCAACCCAGCTAAGAACGAACGCCTAAGATGAAAACATCCAAATCATCAGCCAGCGTTCGCGACATCCGCAAGATGTTCGAAAAGGATTTTAAATCACCTGTGGGTAAAAGTTTCAAGAATGACTCTAATTCTCCTCTCGACAGGACGGTTGCGGAGACTCCTAGCCCAGGAGGAACTGGGATCTTTTCTCCCGAATCTGTTCAAGTTAAGGCCCTTTCAAACACAGCGAACAATTCAAGAAAAGCAATCAAACTCAAGCCATCCATTGATTCGTCTCCTGCAAAATGTGCAGAAAAACCTTTTGACGAACTGACCCCTGATGGAAAACGCGAAGCGAAGATTGACTTTAAGTCTACCACCAACAGCGAAAACGGCGATTACTTGGTGAAGAAGACAACTCAATATGAACGTTATCTTTCACAGATCACGAATTACGGCGTATCGTCTCCCGAGCATCAGTCAACATTGTTGGAAAGCAAGCCTAAGGTAGCGGCACCAATTCCATTTCTTTACACAGGATCGCCTGAACAAGGCACCTTCTCTCCGCTTGCGACAAACATATCCTTATCAGATGAGGTTGCATTGGCAGAGGAGCTTGGAATGGCTGAAAGAAGGGCATTTGTGCAAGAATCTAAAAGGTTGCTCCGACCTACCTCACCTCCGTCGATTACCACCGGCGTTGATCCTGTGCAATTTGTAGCTTCTCCGACATCGCCTGTGAGCCGCATCTCTTTGCCTTCCTATCATGAAAAAGAGAACAAAGCTACTGCGACACCTACTCCTGTGAAGCCGTATTCTTTATTCAAATCAGCTGAAAAGAAGGGCAGTAATAGGAATTATGGCAACGTTGATCAAATCTCGGCACGCGAGATTACAGATGCTGCAGTAGCAGCAGCAACTGAAGCGAAGTACTACAAGAGCTCACCAGTCGAAAACCCGTTGCCCAGGAAAAAGGCTCTTCGGGACACACCAGGAGCTCCTGAGCACGCACCTCTGTGGAATTCGATGCAAATGCACCAGGGGAAAGAAAAAGCAGAGAAACCTTTCGACTGCGCCCATGGCTCTCCTACGGAGAACACGCAAGACAGTGAGAAGCTTCAATTCCTAGAGGAAGGGAAGAGCGATGTCAAATCCAAAAGAATCTCTTCACGCAAACTCTTCCGTTGTCCAAATACAAACTTGGAAGGCATCAAAGCCAAGCAACAGCACAAAGGTCCTTCTGCTTTAACCCCGAACCAGGTACTCGAAACAATGAAAATCCTTCGCGACACGGTTGTCGAGAAATCCGAGATTTATGCATTTGATGAGAAGTCTACTGGAGAGAGCTTTGATGACGAGCCCTTTGCGCCTCTCACGTTTAATACTGATGATAAGAACCTTGATTCACCAAACCACTCAGGACGCTCTATCCGCAGTGGAAGCCCGAATAAAAACAAGAAAAGATTGTTTTCAGACGAGAAAGAAGGAAGAAAATGCGCTGAGATTGCATTCTATGTCTGCGTTTTACTTGCCCTAGTTGTTTGCGGTATTTTGGCTGGACTTTTGGTCAGCGGACAGTTCCATTTCTGGTCAGAAGAAAAACCGAGTCTAGGGGAAACCTGGGACGAAGAAACCATAACCAGTATGGTGACGTCCTATCCCACAGAATATATCAACGATTCGAACGTGTTTGAGGGTTCAAAAATTGTGGCCTGTGGAAACGCTGTTCCAATTACTGAAATGGATCATACATACTATGGAAGCAATTGGAAGGCATTTTGGGACCCAACAATCGATACATGTGGTGATCAAATGAGCACAGGATACGCCGTGTGGTACTCTTTCACCACAGCATCAAGCAAACTTATAGAAGCTTCGACTTGTGATAATTCGGATTTTGACACTCAAATTACTATTATGTCGGGCTCTTGCAATGCAACAAAATGTATTTCATACAATGACCAAGGTTGCGGTGATCAAAGTTTGGTAACATGGTATGCAGAAGCCAATACGACTTACTACATAATGGTTCATGGTTATCGCGAGGCTGCCGGAACTTTTGGGCTTACTTTGAGCGAAGCTTATCAAAGTGACGACTGTGACACTGCAGTGCAGTTGGAAGAGGAATCTGTTCTGGCGGGTACTACTGCAGGTGTTTTTTCTTCGATACAACCTCCTCAGTGCGGTGACGTTGACCTCTCGGACAGTGGTGTTTGGTACACAGTTGGCAATGTTTCTGGGTTTTACAAGGCAGAGGTATTGCTTGGTTATACCAACTTCTCAGGTCAGGTGTCCGTTTACCAAAGCATGAATGAAACCGATTCTGGTTGTAGCGCTCTTATGTGTGAAAAAGGAAGCTCTACTGGAAGCGTCATGTGGTTGGCCGAAGCTACGAAAACGTATTACGTGTACATCAACGGAAAGGATGGAACTAGCGGTGACTTCGATCTTTTCCTAGGACAGAATAAGGCTTCATCCTGCAATTTTGGAACACGAATCGATGCCAATAGTATTGGATACCTTTCTTCAACGAAAGGCCTAAATCCACAAAATGTTGAAGGTTGTGGACACGCAGGTTATCATACTGCGCCTGGTGTCTGGTTCTCCGTCGAGGGAACTGGTGATGTCTTGGAAGCATCCACTTGTGGATCATCCCTTGATCTAGATACGCAAATTTCTGTGTTTGGAAATGGCTGTGATTCGTTAAAATGCATCGCAGGAACTGGCCAGAACCACCCATGCGGTGAGAATGGATCCGTAACTTGGAAGAGTGAACTCAGTGAAATCTATCACGTTTATGTCTCTGGAAGAAGTGGCCGTGTCGGTGACTTCATCTTGAACATCAATGATGTACCTGTGGCGGATGGTTTATCCTGCGATGGGTCGTTTCTACTCGAAGGAGATAGTGGATCTATTCAGTCAAACACCACTTATGCTCCGTTGGCACTCATCGAAGGTTGTTCTGGCACGTATGATGTCCAAGGAGTTTGGCATAAAATTATTGGTACAGGAATGACAATGACGTTTTCAGTTTGCAACGGTGGAACTGACTTCGATGCCCGCATTTCCATGTTCACTGGATCTTGTAATGGACTCACTTGTACTGCTCAAACTGAAAGTCGATGTGGTGAGAATGACAAAATCATGATCACAACGCACGTGGGCGAGACTTACTACTTGTTCGTCCATGGATCAACCGGTTCTTCTTTTGGAAATTATTTGTTGACTGTCGACGAGACAGAAATAAATGATTCTTGCGGAAAGGCTTCTACGTTGGATGTGTTGTCATCCGGAAAATATTTTGGAAGTACACTCAGTGCACAGAAGAGTTCGGCCATCGGATGCTCTATGGATGTGCTTTCAGAGTCAAATGCCCTTTGGTATGCTTTCAAGGGCACTGGTGATGTGGTGACTCTTTCAACTTGCTCATACTTGACTGACTTCGGTACAGACGTTCGCATATACAGTGGCAGTTGCGCTAAAGCACAGTGCGTCTCTGATGTCGATAATAGTTTTGCCGTCAATGGTTGTGGTCAGCAGAGTCGCATTTCTTTCCAATCGAATAGTGATGAGTTATACTATGCTCGAATCGGTGCAGAGTCAGCCAATGATGCTGGAAGCTTTGTCCTGGAGGTGAATCCAAGAAACACTTTCTTCGGTCCATAAAAATAGCGATTGTACGGTCACTATTTCAGGTAAAGACATCTTATAGCCCGACACAGTAGCGGGATTGTGACAGAGTGTCTAGGAAATAACAGTCATTATACAGTTTGTATGTTAACAATCCAAATTATAAATAGCAAACTGATCTCTTGTTTACTTCATAGATTGAAAGTGAAAATGCAGTCGAAAGCACGAGAATCCACCCGAAAATATGTAAGTTTTTCCCTTGAGAGCATCCCCATCCTAGCATACCGCCAAGTTCACACCGCATTGCATTTATTTGTCAACTGGTGGCATTACTGGACAAACCATGGGACGAAACGTAAACAAAGGATGGTCGATATCAAAGTTTGAATTATTCATGTCGAACATAGGTTTCATAAAGATCGGGATCCTGTCTTTTGTTTTTGACTTTTTTGCTTCCTCTTGCTCTTCATTCAAGTTCTGAGCATCAACAGTCTCTTCCAAACTCTTTCTGATGATCGAAATAGTGATGTCACCCTTTTCTAGCTCCTCAACCACAGTGTCCACATGTTTTTCTTGCCAATGTTGTTCTCTACGGGGACGTTTTCTCGGCGATGACATGGGATTGACGCCTTCGGCAATATCATCACGACGTTTTCGCATCCCCTCTAGAAGTGCAAAAAGTGATCGAGAAACATCGGGAATATACTTGACGAGTTTCGATTTCCGATCTCGTTGATCTCGAAGAGCGTTTCTCTTCACAAGATGAACTCGTAGTTGTTGACAGCACAATTGCAATGCCTTCTTGACACTCACCGAAATTTCAGTGATGTCGTCCCCAATATATTCCTTCCCGGTTCCCTTGTACGGAATCTTTGTAGATACAATGGAAACAAAGACCCCAATCTTATCTCGTTTTTGATCAATTTTGTATAGTGACCAGTTGATTTTACTAGTTGCAACTCGTGTGCAAACATCTGCACCCGCTTCGAACAAGAGTGGGATGCGATTGGCAAAGCGTACCACGTTTAGACCCTCTTTGGCTTCCTTGCCTCCCAAACTTACTGCTGCTTCGACAACAAAGGGGTGCCCTTCGTATGCAGAAGGCTTGTCCCGTGAAGTGGCCACGAACTCAGGCTCCAATACCTTTCGAATTCCTAAATTAAGATTGTATTCACCCAGGGGGCTCAAACAAGAACCGTCTGGGGCCTTAAACATCTTGACTGTACGCAGCACTTGTACAAGTTTTGTGAGATCTCGACCCGATATATCAGAAGGTTCTATGATATCGTCTTTGTCCCATCCACATTCCTTGACAATGCGCACGGCCAAAGCGCGTGATACACAGGATAATTCCTTTGTCAGTAATTCGATTATGGTTTTGTGATTGCTGCGTTCGATTAGCTGGCTGACTATAATATTATTGACAGAACTTGGGTGATGCTTGATTTCTTTTGGTAATGGGGGCATCTGTTCTGATCGTCGGTCATGGCGCACTGTCACGTTACGATGTGGCTCGGACCTGTTCTCGTACACCAATTCAAGTCGAGCATAAGGTGTTATGATGGCCAATTGCTGAAAGTAAGAAACAATTCGAGATCTGTACGTAGTCCAATTCCCGGCTATCACAAGCTCAAGTTCCGTTCCTACCCATCCGTCCTCGTTTTTTCTTAGTCTGTGTTCAATGATGTTGGGGCAGTTGTTGGTAATGTCAATGTCCAAGACACACGTTGACACCTTTTTGGGTGGTTCTAACGAAGAAGTATCAATATTGTAGGCTTTGGATTTCGATTTTGGAACCAGAAGATGCGCCGTTGTGATCTTGATAGGTACTCCCGTCGATTTTTTGCTCCAAATCAGTGCCATTTTGGCTCCTTAGACAGGTAGATGTAGGAGGAAACGAGAAACGGGAAACATGAATGAGCAAACATCCTTGTCAGATACAAAGCACGTTCATGAGTAGATTTGTCATCTGATATACTCACCAAGTCCAAATTTCCCCCTTGTTTGACGCACACCGTACTTGCTTCCACTTAAAACTCGTCCCAGCAAATCCGGAATTTTGTCGTGTCTCATCCCGCAGCCATTGTCTTTTACTTTTAGTCGAAAGTATCCCTCTTGTGAGGCTTTCTTGCGTGCTTTTGTTGTGGAGGAAGCGGTACCACCCTTACTATTATTACCACCCGCTGATTTTCGCTTTTTTCTACTCCCTCCACCACCATTCGCGACAGCGCTATTCCCCTTTCCACCTTTTATTTCAAAGAGCTCCGTATCTTTTGTCTCAACCGAAATTCCGCGCATTATGTTGAATTCGTCTTGAGTGAGTTCTTCGATTTGTACTTGTATTGAAGGGAGTACCCCAATTGATTCGCAGGCATCCTTAACAAGAAAAAAACACAATTGTTTGAATCGTATTACTGAAAATTCAGAAAAGGGGATTTCATCGGGTTTCATCGAATCAGACACAGAAAGAATCTGAACTCACCAATGAATTTTCCATTAATTCACGAATACTGGTGTACAATGATTTCCCATGGTTATCGAATCCCGCAATGGCCTGGTTATCAGCAAAAAATTCGGCTGGGCTCTTTTGTCGTTGAATTTCTCCTTGCCCTTCCGATTTCGTTGTTTTCTTTGTTTTCGTACTGCTGCCACTATCAGAGGAGTTTACCCGCGCCATGGTCAGCAATTTGTCTGAGTTCTCTGTAGACACTTACTAGTTGATGTCTATATTGGCTTTGCCCAACGACTTTCGAACGAAAGACCAGACATGCCATGTGTCATGGAGTTGAAGATAATTGATTCGAATCGAAAACTTCCATTTTCGAAAGGTTCGTACCGGTACATACCGTGTTGGTACGAGTACCAACCAATAATGCAACTAATTTTGCAACAGTAGGAAATCATGTACAAGTCTACATACGTACGTACACTTCGATAAAATCCTACTGACCAGCACAGTATCAAAAATATCAAAAACCCTCAACTGATGGGTGTCAGTTGAGAAGAATTATTCTCACAATTTTTGACAAGGCAAATTCTGTGAAATAAACTCAAGTCGTGAAGGTAATTCTCGACAATTGTCAATCACGACAATGGGCCATCTTACCAGCTATTCAACTTGCTCCTCTTGTTGAGGATAACACACAGCAAAAGTAGTCACACTTACTACTAACAAGAAAAAGCAGTCACAGTTAACATACTGTTTTAATAAAGCAACGAGTCGAAGCAAAGCAGCAACGAAGCAATCGAGGCAATGCAGCAACAAATCGAAGCAAAGCAACCAAAGCAATCAAAGCAAAGCAACCAAAGCAATGAATTGAAGCAAACTGAAGCAACTGAAGCAACCAAGGCAACAAATCGAAGCAACCAAAGCAATGAAGCAACTGAAGCAACGAATTGAAGCAATCAAAGCAACTGAAGAAACTGAAGCAACCAAAGCAAAGAAGCAACGAAGCAACTGAAGCAACTGAAGAAACAGAAGCAACCAAAGCAACGAATTGAAGCAACAAATCAAAGCAACACATCAAAGCAATGGAAGCAACCAAAGCAATGAAGCAACAAAAGCAACAACAGCAACGCAGCAACAATCGAAGCAACCAAAGCAATGGAAGCAACAAAAGCAACAACAGCAACACAGCAACAAATCAAAGCAACCAAAGCAATGGAAGCAACAAAAGCAACAACAGCAACACAGCAACAAATCAAAGCAACCAAAGCAATGGAAGCAACCAAAGCAACAAAGCAACAAAGCACGCAGCAATCAACCAGCTATCTTAACTCTGCATGTCCACCTTCCCTCTCATGCTTGGCAAGAGCCTTCAGGACCAGTGTTACAGTCTTCTCCTATCTGTACACATCAAGTACTGTCCTGATAGCATCATGAGCAGTCCCTGCTCTGTTCTTTATTAATCTTTCAATACACAACCAAAAAGGCTTCCTTCTGCAGTACACAAACTTGTTTTCCTTTGAATTTTGCTCAGCTGCAGTGAAGTGCTTTGCTGGTTTGTTACCAGCAAATCCAGACTCCCATTCATTCCATATCACATACAAGTTTCCTGGACTCCTTTGAAGGATTGCTTTCTGCTCCTGAACCTCAGCATCTGCAGCTCCAGCATTAACAAGATGTGGCCTAGCTCTCATCTGGGCCACTGGAGCCATCGCAGCCCAGTTACATGCAGCCTGCAGTCTCTTGTGCCTTTGCTTTTGTAAAGCAAATTCCTTTATCAGCAAGTTTTCCATCTTTGACATTCTTCTCTGCAAGTCATGGATCTTGGCATACATCACATTCATCCATTGTTGGTGTGATCTCCTCATTCCCATTCCACTGTTTTTACCAAAAGGCCCATCTCCAGCAGCAGCACCTTGTTCATCTAGCTCAGGTTCAAACAGCTCATCAAAAGTGATTTGTCCACCTAATTCATTTGGAACCATTTTGACTTTGCGGATTGGGTTTGCATTCCTATCTCCAATACCAATACCAGCCCCACCATTTGCTCTCTATTGTTAAGATGAATAAATGAAGAAATTACATTTCTGGAACAACACCCACCATAGAAGGTTGAAAGCATGCCCACAGCAATGCCTTGCCTAGGATTACTGCTACATCATCACCAAAAGCACTCACAATATTAGGAGTAACATTTTCAACGATCCATTTATCAGTAACCCCAGACCCCTCCACCACCTTGTACAAACACACACCACGGTAACACAATCACCTTGCAACTTTAATATCAGGCCATAATAGCTGGGTGTCCGGATACCTATCTTGTTGCCTTCTTTTTCCTTTCCATTGAGCTCAATAATCAACATCGGCCTTGTGGAGTCCAACATGCCTGTACAATGATACTGCATGCTTTCTGATAGAGTGTGTACCCAGCCTACAGGCTTTCTCTTTGTTGAACTGTCAATTTTTCCACACAGGTGAGAATTTAGAAATCTAGAGTACTGCTGTTTTCCTCTACTAACTTCCTTATTCATAATCTTCATTGGAGATCTCTTATCACTAAATCCTTTTGTAAAAAGCCACTGACTAACTGCCCCCTCACCATCATAGCACCATTTCTCCAAAAACAATGCTAAAGCAAGAACAGCACATTTTTTCATTTATAGAACCCAATAGTATCTGATCAGGGCAGTTGTGGTCATCTCTAACATTTTTTGACCACTTCATTTTCAGTGTCAGAAACTCAGGAAACTGAGGGCAACTCTTCAAAGAATCCTTAGTGATATGAGCCATATCATCATTTTGAGCCATGAAATGCATCTGTGTCAACATCACTGCTAAATATCTCTTCTTACCTATGACAGTACCAGCCTCCTGTGATATAAGATCAACTGCGTGCAAAAATTCACTCTTAGTCAACGGTCTATCCATCTTTGTCAGAACCCCAAGTTCTCTAGTTTCCTTCAACTTGACCGCTGCAATAAGATTATTCACCTCTCGTTGGATTGCCATGCCCTACACCTTGAATCACAGTCCACTTGATAGTCTTGTTGGGTAGACAATAGGATATCCCCTTCTTTGCATAAGCAATAGTTGTAGACCTTTCAAATATAGGATCATCATCTGGGCCTGGATCCTCTTTCCTATAGCACTTAAGTGCCAAAAATCGATACACATGTTTGGGGGTAATCCTCAGGGCTAAACACATGATCCCAATGGAATTTGTACCAGCAGTCCTTGGAGTGTCATCATAACCAACTCTCCTCCCATGCA